ATATCAGCTAAATCCTAATAATTCTCAGCTTGTATCAGAGGTGGATTTTACTTTAATCTGGAGGCTTTTTGTAAGTATGGCAAAATGATTGCCCATTTTCTCAATGTTTTTTTCAAAGCTTTATGTTTAATGTGTACAATATGTTTTTGTGGTTTTGGCAACCGTAGCTGCAGTGAGCTATCTATGTGAACTCAATCCGATATAGCTTTTTCTTATTAAGGTCTCTTGCAATAACACACAGTACAGTCAGGCTGCGATTATTAGACCCGGGTGCACAAACAGCTTTAGGGAAAGAAACAGTTATTTTCAAAAGCTTTCATCAGATTGAACGTTTGTGTGTGTGTGCCAGCATAATGCATGTGCATACATGGGTACATGTGCAAACACACACCAACCATATCATGTTAGAGGGCTGAGGTAGCCCTTTACAAACTCGCTGTATTACATTCAATTCATTCTTACTCCCAGTTGAAGCGCTACTCTGTCCACAGTCTATATTGTATTATATATCCATTACATTAGTGCATCGTTTTAGGATTACTCATACTTCATACATGGAGTTTTGGATCTGATCGTCAGTTTCATAAAATGTAACTTTTAACTTTATAGCAAAGTGCCAACATCAGACTCTTTATAACAGTTACAAAAAGACCAGTGGATTTTATCACATACATGTAATCACTAGATCCTGTTTCAGGCATTTCTACAATGCAGTTGACAAAACTGCATGATTTACCTCCTTCAGGAGCGTAAAAGTGAAACGTTGCCTAACACAGTTTAACATGTGTGACTGATGGATCATACAGACGAGATGTCTGCCTGAGCTTCCTGCACTTTTTTAATCATTCCCTTTCTCTGTTACAACTTTTTCCCGTCTCTATCTCTCTACCTCCCTTATACTGTATATCTCCCTCACCTCTATATTTCTTCCAGTCTGTCTCGTACCCTTCAAACTTAATTTCTTTATTCATTTATTAGTTTTTTCAGTTTTTCTTCGTGAGATTTGAGCCCCTAAGCTGCCTTTATTTTAAATTAAAACATTTGTTTCATGTAGGATCACACTGAAATATATCCTGCTGGATGTCCAGCCTGAGTAAATAAATAATTCTGAAGGCTGGCATATGGAATCCGCTTTTTTGAATGTTGAATTACAAGGGGCAATTTTTGGATATGTGTGTCTCCTGCTCTCAGCGTTTCAATCGTAGTGTGATGTTAACCAAACCATCTGCCTGTCATCTCTGTCACTTCTTGTGCTGAAAGCAGGCATTGTTCAAAGCACTCAAGCTGTTCAGTCTATGCTCAAACCCGACCATGTTTCAGCACTCCAGCTAGACTTTTCTGTTGTGTTGGAAGTGCTTTACATTTTCCTAGCACTTAAATCAGACGATATGTGTGTTGAAAACTTTGCTAGAAGGTTCATCAGTGAAGGCTTTAACACACTGCATGTGTTTTCCCTTGCTTTTGAGTGTGATGACAAGAATATTGACTCTTTATCTTTTACATGAATATGTAATAAGACAGGAGTCTGTTTTAAACAAAGGTAGTGTTGTTTGAAAATGCAGAATAATAGGCATGTTATAAAGAAAGCATGTCAAACCAGATACCAGCTATTAGAAGTTGTACAAAAGGAGTTAGAGCTGCATCAAACATATAAACAACACACGTTATTATGCTCTTGTAAAGTTGCCATTGCTAGCTTCGTCTAGCAGACGGTTCATCAGATAAGAAAAAGTTTTTTTCCTTTCCTGTCAAGGAAAAATTACAGATCATATTTTTTTTCTGACCATCCGATTCGTTTAATTGGAAATATTCTGTTCGTATTGACAATTGAGCGTTAGCAAAACTTGTTATTTGCTTCAGTCATATTTTGTTGTTGTTTCACGGCCAGGGTATTTGTGATGGGGGCTCTGTTGTTAATATAAGTTGTGGTCAAGTGTTAACCGATGTCCCTGCAGATTTGGAGCTGATCTCAGCTGCTGCCAGAGGTTGTGCTTTATAGAAAAGGAAAGTACATACATATTTTGTATTACCGTCTCCTGCGGATAAGTGCGTAGTGTTAAAGCTGCTGTTTTCTGTCATGGCCAAAGAAACAGAGCCATAAATCAAACACCCTGGGAACCTTGAAGTGCCTGGCTTGTTGCATTGACAGATTATTTAGATTTCTGTTTCTGATTATCTCAATGACTTGTTGCACTCTCTTTCATGTGAAAATTGAAACTACTTTGATCTGTGAAATCTTTTTAATCGTAGTTATTGAAAACAAATTTTTTTTTTAAAAACACTTCTGGTTTCCTGCCATCATGAATAATTTATTTAGACTTAAACATTTCTATTCTCTTTATGTTGTATAGACTATCTTCTGGTGTAGTTGTAGGTTACTGCAGAGAGAAGCAGAGTTTGGGTAAGTGTTTTTGAGAGAGAGATGTAGCGGTTGTGTGTGGGGGGCAGAAACAGAGTACTAATTGGGGTAGAACATATAATAGAAATGTTGTGGTGAGTGTTTGGTCCATAACAGTGCCAAAGTGGTTGGTATGAACACACCCCTCAGTATGGGTCAAAATGCACATAGAAGAAAGAGCCCACAGATTCAGCAGGAGACGTTGTTCTCCTTTCTCTCTCTTTTCCTTCCCTTACATCCACGCTATTCTAATCAGCGTCAAGTCGATCCCTCATTACTCTCTTCTTCCTGCCCTCTGTGGTGGTGAGTGATGTTGCGTGTGTTGGGCTAATATGACCATAAAAGGTTGGGGCCGCAGAGACTTAACACTAATCCGAGTGCAGAGCCTCTTTTATTAGCCCGGCCTGTGTTGTGTGTGTGTGTGTGTGTGTGTGTGTGTGTGTGTGTGTGTGTGTGTGTGTGTGTGTGTGTGTGTGTGTGTGTGTGTGTGTGTGACTGAAAGACAAAGATAGAGGCAGAGGACACAGACACATACTGTAGGAGGATGTTACACACCAAAGCGGAACGAACCCACATTACACTTTATCATCCTTGCCGTCCCTCATTCAGCAAAAACAGATTTCTTGAGGCCCCAGATTAAAAAGCTGTTCTAGGAGTGATATATGGCTGTCAAGAGTAAGAGCCACTTCATAATGTACAAATAACTACCCCCAAAGTGGTTTTTGTGCATGTGTGTGTCCAGTGAAGTGTCCTGTGTGGTCCTTTTTCACTCTGTCAAAAGAAACAAATGACCTCACTCTTCTTTGGACAAACTTGGACCTTGTGTGTGACCAAGAATGGTCAGAATCACAGCTGCAGCTTCCTCTTGTTCTTGAAGGACTTGTCATAAATGAATAATATAATACAAAGTCAGTGAATCAAATTGTTATAAAATGAATGTGATATCAATAATTGTTATATTGAAATGTGTTGTAATAATACCTCTACATTGGTCTTAGATACAGTCCATTTGCGTCATGGGAAAAGGAAAAGAGATGTAGTGTGTAACGTCCAACGCACATTTCCAAATGTGTCACAGTCCTCCTGAGCCGACTGATAGGAATGGCTCTGGTTTATACAACACATGCTGCCACAATGTATTGCCTTCTCTGTGATGGTGACGGTGATGTAAAGACAGTAACACGACAACATACATTGACAGATACTAAAACAGTACTTCAAGTAAGACATTTCAATCGCAAAAACGAACACAAATATGATTTTTTTCGAAATGATAAACATAATAGTGATACATGTGTTTTTAATGAAAACATTATATGTTTGTGTAAATGTACCTCAATAGCACTTACTTTAACTCACGTGAGTGTCAACACATTACACATGTCCTTACACATTTAATCACATTTTATTTCGGTGTAGACTCAGACCTACTTGGTGCCAGTTAAGTGGTTAGTTTCCTCGCGACTGTTGCTCAAAACTTGTTTACAAAATCTGTTTAGGAATGCTCGTAAATAGATGGTCTACTGCAGCAACTATGGGTGCGGAAAATGCTTCATTTGTTCCCCGGACATTATTATAATCATGTGTTTAACATTTCTGTCAAGAACAGAGTTGATACCGTACAGCAGGTGTCCATGTTAAAGCCATGTTGAACATGCTGGTACTAAATACCAGACCTGCTGTTCAGCACGAGTTCTGTGTGTGGCTTGAATCTGGTTCAAATTAACCAGCTTCCCCCAGAGTGGAAGTACAGCAATTAAACCTTGTTTGGATACAGATACTTCAGTAATACCTCAAAATTCATAGGAGACACTAACAACCAGAGACAAAAGAAGGGTATGTATATTTTATGATGCGTGAAAAACAAGAGATCTCAAAGCCAATAAAACAAATATCTATCTAAACCGTGACGCTAGGTCCCATTAGCTATTTGTCACCTTTTTAATTGCATTTTAATTACATGATTGCTTTTTACTGGGATTAGATATTGTTTAGTTAATCTCTAATGTTTAAACTTAATTTATCTATTTTCAGAAGCAGACATTACCAAACACCACCTTTTTTGTTAAACTGCTCCTTAAAAAATGGCTCTAAAACTTTAAATAATTATTTGTTTGATACATGTTTATATCAAAATCTAGCCTATACTCTGAAATGCTTTATAATTTGTAGTCTTATTTTCAATGTTCACTCACTTACCATATGAAATGGCTTCATACAGTAGAGTAGAAGTTGGACACAAGGAATGCATTATAGCTCAGATCTTTATTTCTCACATGCTGTGGTTAAGAGACATATTGAATGTTCCTCTAACATGTTGTAAGCCCAGTATGACAGCAGGTCATAAAGAAGAAACAAAGGTAACTCAAAGACGAAGGCTCCTGCTATTAGACACGCATAAGTGAATGTACACTAGACACACCATTATGTGGTAAAGAACCAGCTCTTTCATTAGCTTTGCCAACATACTAGAATAGATCCATAAATCCTGTGATAAATACAGAGGTAATGTGCACATCCCACCCTCATAATCCCTTAATAATCTTGAATTTGATGCTGTTTGTATATAATTTTAACTGTCTGTGGTTTTGTGCGCCTGCAGCTGACGGATGGTGGGAAGGCGGCTAAAGGGGGCATTGGTATTGGAGACATGGTTCTGTCTATTGATGGCATCGCCACGGAGGGCATGAATCACCTGGAGGCCCAGAACAAGATCAAGAGCTGCAGTGGAAACCTCAGCCTCAAACTGCAGAAGTAAGTCATGATCTCACAGTCAGTGTGTGTGTGTTTGTGTGTGTACATGTATGTGTCTATAGCAGGTGGGCATTCAAGTAAGCATAGGGCTAAGCCAGCTGAAGCCTCGTGCCTCATAAAGGATGCACAATGGCAAACAGGAAGTATTGTTTATACTGATTATATGTTAGCAGCCCTCTCCTGAATTGGGTGTTTTTTCAGCACCTTCAGCAGACACAGCCCCAGTATTTCAAATAATTATGCTTATAATAATTTATTTACAATGCTGAAACCTAAATGTACTTGCTGTTAATGTTAATCATTCTAATTTGGCTGGGTGGTTATAATAACACCTATTCCTGTAGTGTGACAAACCCAGAGCACATTTATATGTTCTCTACTCAAACTCTTAAGTCCATGCTTCCCCTTTGAACTCCAGACATCCCGCATACAGGCAGATGTTCACTGTTGTTGTTAGAGTTAATCTTACAAACAGTAACACCATTAGTTCTGCCTCATCTCCCATTCCCCGAAGAAAAAAGGAATAACTGAATTCACAGCGAGAGTATCACACATGTGGACCATCCCCTCTTCCCCAGGGGCTACTCCTCACGGTTTGGTAGAATCCTGTTGCACAGTGGAGCCGATTTATCACATGCAGGTGTGTGTGTGTGTGTGTGTGTGTGTGTGTGTGTGTGTGTGTGTGTGTGTGTGTGTGTGTGTGTGCGTGTGCGTGTGCGTGTGCGTGTGTCTTTGGTTATATATTGGATCTCATGTGGTTTGGATTGTCTGGTTTCTTGGCATCACCTGTAGGCAAGCATGCTTTTTCATTTGCATGAGGGACGTGCAAGGCTCCTACACTTGTCCTTTTTGGATTTGAGGTCACTAAATAGAGGAGCAGATTTACTAGAAACATAGGAAAAATGAATTGTCATATCTAAACCTGAAATCTGAATTGACTTAATTGAAGTAATGAAATGCTCAGTTTCCTTTTGTGGCTGCATGTCTGGACTGCACATTCTGTCCATCCTCGATGACTTTTAATATTTCTTTCACCCCTTCCGTCATGTGAGGCTACTGGGTATGTGCTACTGGGTATGTCCTCTAATTTGTGTCCAAATGATGACAGACCAAAGACGTTTTCTTTTGGTTCTGTGGAAGAGATCACAAACTGTAATACTCCAGGGCTTATAATAACTAAAGGTCAGTGTGTGTTTGTAACTTTGAAAGAGAGACCTATGATCAAACTCTTTTCTATGATGTGTGAAGACGTTTCTGGAATAAATCTTGGCTAAAGTTAGTTGAGGGTTGATGAAGAAGGTCAACAACAGTTGTGCTGACAACGACATGGCAAATTTACAGCCAATCGGTGTGTCCGTCTTTTTATTAATACCGCTTAGCTGTTTCAATTACACTCGTCTCATAATTTGCTAAGACATCACAAAAGGTTTCTAACTGTGGATGAGACCTTTAATAGATTTACCATTTCCGTCCTTCATCCTCTGTTTGACATATAGTGAAAAAGGTTGATATGATCTTTGTGCTTTGCAGGACTCATCACATCCTTTTTGAAACATATGATTTATTATTACTGGCACACCATATATATTTTCTCTCAAAGGAATACATAAAAAACATTTGTCTGACTGTTAAATAAGAAGCAACAGCCATACGGTGGTTAGTACAGCGTTCCTTTAACATTCATCTTTTATTGGTAATGTTTTCAACCGCCTTGACGAACAGAGCAAGATTTGTATCAGTTATTGGCTTTTACTTTAAATTACCTAATTATGGCAACCAAAAGAGCGGGCTCGTGCCTAACCGAACAAATCTCCCACATGTTAAGTTGCGCTTATTTGGGGGACCAGTTAAAGGATAATCTGTTCTGCATCTCTCTGTGGCAGACATCAGACCTTTAAGGGTATCTATCATGCCCTATCTAAAACACTTGGCACAGCTTGTTTCATTAACTGGCAGTATTATATTATTAAGCAGCTACTTTGGGGACAGCTTGCTCCAGCTTCTGCTCTACAGGACGACTCTAGAACACATGTGTCAAACTCAAGGCCCGGAGGCCAAATCAGGCCCTTGGTGGATTTAATTTCGGCCCGCAGGATCATTTTTAATTACTATTAGATCTGGCCCGCCGGTATATTGCACACACACCTGAGCCCAAACATTGATGAACTTGCACCCGAGATGAGATGCCAAGTATCTGGCTTGAAATAGCATCACAGAGCAGCACACTGAGTTTCTATGGATGTTTCCTTCTGCACTTTTTCTCTCACGACAACAGGGCATGTTTATTTTTTNCACACACACACACACACACACACACACACACACACACACACACACACACACACACACACACACACACACACACACACACACACACACACACACACACAGACACACACACACACACACACACACACACACACACACACACACACACACAGTGATTATCATGGCTGATTACCTGATCTGTTCTTTCCACCTGAGCAGCAGCTAAAAGCTCACATAGTCTGAATCAATGCGCTAATTGTGCTCATTGCAGGGAGAAACTCTCTCTTTCGTTCAAATAAATTCAAAGTCTCTTCATTGGCAAGAAAGTAATAAAGAAACACACTGTTACCAAAGTATCAAAATAAACTACAGGTTAATATGAATACAAATATAAAAATTGTATGTGTGTGTCCCATAGACACATGTATTTAATAGAGTCACAGACCGTCTTTCCAAACATCACAGTCACATCACAGAAGTGTTAGACACAGTGTGTGTGCTGCCACCTCGCACGCTCTGCATCGTATTAACTGAGGCTGTTCACCTCTGACCCCGGATCTGACCTGACACTCAATGTCTCTGTCAGGCGGAACACACACACTCACACACACAGGTACGCACACACACGGAAATCTACAAATATAGACACATTTGGGAGCAGCACCAGTGTCTCAGGTTAAGCTGTATGACCTTTAAGGGCATTGGCGTAGGCCGTAGGGCATAGGGTGTTAGACTCCAGGCACACACATTAGCATACTAGCTTATCATAGGTATCTGTTTACGAGAGATCTAATTAATATGATACACAAGTATCTAAATATTTGGGCAAATTCTAAATGAACCTATTATATAAATGGATATGACTAATTTCTAATAGCCTGCAGCTGAGACTTTGTTACAATATACAGTTATGTTTCAGTGGAAGATAAAGTCAGAAATCATCAAAGTAATAAAAAAGTAACTGTAGTGTTTAAAGAGATGTTTCCACTTCCACAGCACACATTGGATTGATCACAGTCAGTGTATTGACTTTCACAGCGAAAGTAGGCAGCAGAAGTCTGTGATGTGTGAAGACAACGTTATAATCTGTTCATGTGTTTCCTGTGAATCTGACACCAACTGAAAGTGTGCTGTGTGTTGAGCCAGGCTGCGAGGATGAAACCAGGGGCCTTACAGTTGGATCACAAAGAAGATAATGTGTTACTTACAGGATGTAGGCGATCACTCCGATGGACCAGCAGTCCACGGCCTTACTGTACGGCTTCTGGGCGAGAACTTCTGGAGCTGAAAGGGAAAAAATTGTGAGCCTCGGTTGATTGTTTCAGCTATTTCTGTATTAATGTGACTCCATTGCAGTAGCCGGTGTCTGTTTACCCAAGCTTAAATCTGGGTCGTGCTTGAGGTCCAGTTAAAACTCCTATGTAACTGTTTTATGAGTCCCGCATTTCATGGTGGGACAATTTAACAAGTTCTCATGGCTCTAAAAAGTTATCCTGGCATGAAAAAGACCCAAACTAAGCATTTCATGTTCAGTTTTCCTGTATTTCATAAAAAATCTAACTGCAGGTTCGTACAATCAGACATTCTTATTTTTGTCTCACTGTATCAGATAGCAGCTGATGTCTAGCTTTCGATTTCTCTCCATGTTGAAACGGTGCAGGTCAAGAGGCATTTATTAGCACACTATTTTTTGTTAACATGTATTATTTAAAACCCATTAACAGTGGTGTGGTTTTAAAACAGTAAAAAGGAAGAAGGAGTGAGATTTCAGCCATGTAGCTAACATTAGCTTACAATCCGCTAGCGATGGTTGTTGATACTTCCCTACGAGTAAAGTGTTTCAGAACTTAATTCAAGAGGGAAATCTGTCAGCTTGTCCAGGTAAGAAAAAGAGATAAGACAAAGATAACAGACTGGGCCCCTTACCCACATATCCTGGCGTGCCGCATGCTGTGGACATGACATCCCCACTGCCCTCCATCTTGGAAAGACCAAAGTCGCTGATCATGATCTTTGACTCATCTTGGGAATTAAAATAAAGCAAGTTCTCTGGCTGGGAAAGAGGGACAGAAAAGCAAGTATGTTATTAAACTTTTGGGTTATAAATGTATGGTAATTTGGTCACATATTTCAAACATCATAGTCTGAACCAATAACATAAATACAACACTATAGAAAGAGACAGGCGCAACTTTCCTAATGGAGGCCGTTTGGACACATCTCCTTTCAGCCGAAGGTGACCCTAACACTGACCTAGAATTGCTGCAGTAATTGTTTTCAAAATAGGGAGGTGTGTGTGTGTGTGTGTGTGTGTGTGTGTGTGTGTGTGTGTGTGTGTGTGTGTGTGTACTTCTGTATTTGAGAGTGTGTGTGTGTGTGTGTGTGTGTGTGTGTGTGTGTGTGTGTGTGTGTGTGTGTGAGNGCGTCCAGGACTTGTCGGATCAGCGTGCTCGCATCTTTCTCCGTGTAAAAACCTTTTTCCACAATTCGGTCAAACAGCTCGCCACCAGACACCCTGCACATAAGGGAGGAGTGTGTGTGTGTGTGTTTGTTATAAGCATTAGCATCCACAACAACATCAACACACTCCGTCACACACATTCCAAAATGAAAAATTCGGAATATTCGTAATTATTTTCAAATCTGAGTTTTGAGTAAATATAGCAGCAGAAAAACATAAACAATTAGGCCAGTAACCTGTAAAAGGTGACTCGATTGAGATTTCTGGTAAT